CCATCAAGTGGTATCTAGAGCCAAGGTTCATCAAGGGTAAAACTTTGTCTTCCTTGTCTTCTTGCTTGTTTTTCCTATTCGGTCATTTCTCTACTCCTTCTCATTTCTTGTGTGGCCGAATAGTTTAGGGCTCATTCTTTGTTCCTTGTGAGCCTTCCTTGAATATTATAGGTTTCCATTGTTAGGTGTTGCCATGCTTTTATATTTTTTTAGGTTGAGTCTCATACGAACATGCTTTTGATTTTTGAATCCACCTAAGTTTTGTCATATTTTATGTTTCCTATATTTTGTCTACAAAAAAATTCCATGTATGTGTCAAACACCTTTGCATGAATACATGAACCAAAAATACCATATTGCATGATATATAGTGGGTGTGACATCTAGCTACCATCTAGGAGTCATTCATGCATGCTACTTAGTTCTAGCATGTTCCTTGAATTTTTTTTGAGTTTCCATGTGTAAAATTGCTTCCTTGCACATGCATATAAATTGCTGCCCACTTTTCCCTTGCATTCCCACTTGTGATGGTCTATAATTGATGATTGATAACCCTAAAAGAATCTAAGAGGTGTGCTGAAAATTTAGTACAAAACAAATTGTCCTAAATAGTACAAAACCAATTCCACTAAAAAGATTCCCTTGGATGGCTAATGGGTTTATTAAACCTGAAGGTAATTTAGAAGTGGAGGATGTTGGTTATAAGGTGTGGAAAAAATTATATGGTAGATCATTTTTTCAAGAAGCAAAGTCTGATGAGTTTGATATCATTACAAGTTTCAAGATGCATGATCTATTTCATGATGTTGCACAGTCTATTGTGGGTGAAGAATGTGTGGTTTATGGGAAAACAAAATTGACTGATTTATCAACTAAAGTTCACCATTTACACTCGTTCATATCTAATGAGTATGAGTCAGTTACTAAGACTTCCTTAGATAGAGTTGAATCATTGCGAACTTTTCTTGATGATTCGTATTGTTACGATAAAAATGTTCCTCTATTGCCATTAAACAATAGTCTCCGAGCATTAAAGATATCTTCTCGTCAAATTCCACTTCTCATGGATTTAACACATTTGAGGTACTTAAATCTGCGTAAGAGTTATGTCACATGCTTGCCTAGATCTATTTGTAGGCTTAAGAAATTGCAAATATTGAAACTAGAAGGATGTTCGGCCCTTGTTAGGTTGTCCAAACACCTGACACAATTACAAGATTTAAGACAAATTCTGATCAATAGATGTGGCTCATTACTAGTGACACCTCCCAAAATGGGCAAGTTAAGGCATCTAAAAACACTGAGCAAATTCATTGTGGGTTCAAAGTCAGGATATGGGTTGGAAGAGTTACATGGCTTAAAGTTGGGAGGCAAGCTGCACATCAAAGGCCTGGAGAATGTCCCAAGTGAAGGGAATGCTAAAGAAGCAAATTTGATTAGTAAGAGGGAGCTGAATCGCTTATACTTGTCGTGGGGTCGTTCAGAAGGTAGTAATGTTAATGCTGAGCGAGTACTTGAAGGCCTTGAACCTCCCTCAACTCTCAAAAGTTTTGGGATGAATGGATACAAAGGAAAACAGTTATCAAGATGGATGAGAAACCCTTCAATTCTAAAGGACTTGGTAGACATTATACTGTACAAGTGCGTGAACTGTAAGGAGCTTCCCCCACTTGGTAAGCTAGCACATTTAAAAAGGCTATATGTACATGGAATGAAAGATGTGAAGCATATAGACAGTGAATCATACGATGGCGTGGAGGAGAAGGCCTTTCCATCGTTAGAGGAATTCGTCATGAGGAATTTACCAAATTTGGAGAGGATATTGAGAGATGAAGGAGTAGAGATGCTCCCTCGTCTTTCGATATTACGTATTAACGGTGTCCCCAAACTTCAATTCCCAAGTCTTCCATCTGTAGAGGAACTTGATGCTAGAGAGATTGAGAACGAGGGTTCCTTCATGGAAGGGGTTGTGGGAAATTTGCCTCGTCTTAAGTCTCTGTACATTATCTCCTTTAGCAAACTGAAGGTACTACCAGAACAACTTGGCAGGCTTGGTGCATTAGAGGAGTTAATGATAATTGAATGTGATGAACTGGAGGCTTTTCCGGAACATGTGCTGAAAGGTTTAACTTGTCTTCGAAGATTGGAAGTTTATAGGTGTAAGAAATTAAAATGGTTAGGTGAAGGTTTGGGGCATTTAGCTTGTCTTGAGGTTTTTCATGTTTCGAGATGTCCAGAGGTGGTGGCTCTACCAAGCAACATGAACCAACTAACTGCTCTTCGGGAAGTGACGATTAGCGGTACATTACTAGAATGCTTACAAGGTGTCCTCTCCCTCCAACGATTGGTTATAAAACATTGTAGTTCATTGCCAGAGTGGCTGGGAGACATGACTTCTCTTCGGGAATTAAGGTTAGCGAGATGCAGTGAGTTGAGGTCACTACCAAGTAGCATTCAACGCCTCACCAACTTGAGTCACTTAAGTATTGAAGATTGCCCAGAGCTGGAGAAGCGATGCAAGAGGGAAACAGGACAAGATTGGCAGTACATAGCTCACATTCCTCAAGTGAGAGTGGTCAGCTCCTCAAACACAATAACGTGTTGTGGTAAATTCATGAGCCTTTTCTCTTTAACTTGACTACGAAAAATTATGTGTATGGTTTATGTTTAAATATTGCATGCAGACACAATCCGATACATCTGGACAGCCTGCAACACGGCTGGAATGTGCTCTGCTTTAGACTTTTGGGAACATGATACTCCAATGAATCAATTTGACAGGATTGTTGAGTAAGTTACGTCCAAAATTGCCAAGCAGTTTATTTAAATAAAATATTTTCTTAAATGGTTAATGATCTAATTTCAAATTTAATCAAGGTATTTATATCGTTATGTTTTTTTTATTTTACTTTTTACATAATCAAACTAAAAAATTAAAAGCACCGAAACAAAATAATACAAATTCGAATGAACTAAAATAAAAAAATTAAAACTATAACAATTTTATTTTATATAGTTTTTTTTCTTTTAATTATTAAGGTTGGAAGGACAAGGATCAAGGGGTGTTGATTAAGAAGAGAGAGACAAATTCCTAAAAGAGTCTGTGGATATATCTCTGCCATGGAACCTGCGACTAGGTGTGCCGATTGTTTACTATCCCACTCAATTGTAATTTGGAAACGAGTTTAGTTCTTGAAATTACAAACACCTGTATTTTAGTCCGGGTGTGGGATATCTTATATTTATTTTAAAAAATATATTCATTGTGTATTGATAATAAAATGATTTACAAAATTATTTCTTCATTGAATTTTTAAAGAATTCTAATTAAGTCTGTAGATTAAAAAAAAATATACTTATATTTTTTATAATTTAGTCTGAAATTAGAAATTTATTTACGATCCCTAAAATTTGATAAAATATATTTTATATCATCGTAATTGAATTTGTTACACTATCGCCCATATGTATTAAAGTTTTATATTTCATAATCATATGAAATAATAATCTAATGTAATCAAGTATAAGTATATAAAAAATATTTATTTATTTTTAATAAATTTTAAACAAATTTTAATCTCAGACTAAATTACGAAAAAAAAGTAAAAAAGATTAATAATTCAATTACAATTTTTCTTAATTTAAAAATTACTTAAAATTCTCAAAAATTCATAAATCAAATAATATATTAAACCTTGTAAAATTTATTAACTTATTAAATATTACCTTTGGTTGTTAGAATTTAGTTTTATTTTTTTTCCAAAAGACCCAATCTATTGTCTTAAGTATTATTTTTTTTTACAAAAATATTCTTATAAAATGCATTTTTTTTAACTCAACAAGTAAATTAAATTCATTTAATTTATATATGCAAATAAACACAATTTTTTTTTCTTAAAATGCAAAATCTTTGAAAACATTACATTGATCACTTCCTTTGAACCATTATCTTACCCAATTAAGAACTAAATTGAATTATAAAGTATTTCATTTGAAAAAAATGAAAATTTAATTATATATATATATATATATTAATTTTAATCTACAAATTAACTTATCTTAATGTCAATGAATTAACTATTTGTATTTTTTAATAAGAACGGGATGTAGTAATATTTAATTTAGTTCATTTTATAGATTACATGATATGATATAGTTCAAACATTTAACTTTCATAATTCAATCCACTCAGCTCATTAATCTTAGGAGTCAATGGATGAGAGAAAGTATTTAATATGATTTTATATTCAAAATTATTAGTTAAATCAAAATAACTTATGTTAGTTGGTCATGTACTTAGAGTTAAATTAGATTTTTACATTGTATATTAATTTAATTTAGACTTAAATACATTTTTAATCTTTAAAATATTATAGTTATATAATTTTAGTCTCTCAATTTTTAATTAAATAATTTTAGTTAATAAAGTATATTCTCTACGATTGAAAATTGTGTAATATATAAACAAACGTTTTGGAAAAATACAATCCTACCTCCTATACGTAAACCCCTTTTATAACTAGGCAACCAAGTGCTTTACAACAAGGTTTGCAGTTTCTTCTGAAA